GAGGCCCCCGAGCCAGCCGTGGCGCTCAACAAGTGCGTGCCGAGCCGCGGGGGCGAGCGTCGTGGGGGCGTCTGTGGGAGGGGACAGGTCCCAGCCAGGTCACCTACAGGTCTGGGTGGGCACGAGGAGGCAACCTGGCCACCCTGGAGGTCTGGGTGGGCACGAGGAGGCAACCTGGCCATTTATTGGATCTGGGTGGAGATGAGAGGTTCAGCCTGGCCATCCTCCGGGTCTGGGTGGGCACGAGGGGGCTGCCTGGTCATTTATTGGGTCTGGGTGAAGATGATGAGGCCCTCTGACCACCCTGCAGGTCTGGGTGGGCACGAGGGGCAGCCTGGCCACTTCTTGGGTCCAGATGGAGACAACCGATTCAGCCTGGCTACCCTCCAGGCCTCTGTAGGCACGAAAGGGCATCTTGGCCACTTCCTGGGTTTGGGTGGAGACGACAGGTTCAGCCTGACCACCCTGCAGATCTGGATGGACATGAGGGGGTAGCCTGGTCACTTCCTGGGTCTGGGTGGGGACGACAGGTTCAGCCTGGCCATCCTGAAGGTCTGGGTGGGCACAAGGGGGCAGCCTGGCCACTTGCTGGGTCTGGGTGGAGATGATAGGGCAGCCTGGCTGCTAGCTGGGTCTGGGTGGAGACGACAGGTTCAGCCTAGCCATTTATTTGGTCTGGGTGGAGATGAGAGGTTCAGCCTGGCCACCCTGCGGGTCTGGGTGGACCCGAGGGGGCAGCCTGGCCATTTATTGGGTCTGGGAGGAGATGAGAGGTTCAGTCTGGCTACCCTCCGGGTCTGGGTAGACACGAGGGCAGCCACTCTTCAGATCTGGGTGGAGATAGGATCCTGACATAAAAACCACCAGCCTGCTTTCAAGTCTCCACAGGGAGCTGACACCCTGGGTCTGGGGTCCAACCTGAAAGGTGAGGTGCTCTGTACAGGCTCCAGTGAGCAAGCACTTCCAGTTACTGAGTACACACCCACAAGCAGTACTTTTTGTAGTGTGAATCATGAGACTGGGTCTGTGCACACAAAGGGGACATGAAAAGTGGGATATGTCTACAGAAAGTTCTGTGTGCCATTTGCTCTTAGCCACCCTCCTGAATGTCATGGAAAGCCTCTGCTACCCCAGTGCTCCCGTAGGGTAAGCTGGCTTCAGCTGGCACACGCAGAGGCAGACCTGGGGGAGGACAAGTGGCTGTGTGTGCAGACTATGTGATGGGATGGCTGTGGAGGAAGCTGACTCTGCTGTTTTCTGCTCATCCTAGTCTTGGGTTGTCCCCTTCTGGCCCATGTTTTCAGAATTTGGGGGGTGGTGAAGCAGAGAGAGATGGGTGTCAGGGTGTGAGAGCAGGGCATGACACAACCTTGCTTCCTCCGTGAGGAAGGAGAGCTTGGATGTCCCCAGCAGCACTGGCTGATCACTGTTGTCCAGGGATCTCCACGATGTGTGCTGTGCAGCGGAGCAGAGCTGGGCTCTTTCCAGAAAGACTCCCGTGCACCCTGGAGTGGGGTGGTGGGCACTTGGGATGTTTCAGGGGCACCTCTGCCTCCTCTTCCTCACTGTCTGGGTCTTGTTTTTCCTTGGCAGTTTGGTAACTCTTATTCGACATCCATCTGAATTAATGAATGTTCCTCTTCATCAGCAACAAAACAAATGTACAACGCTAGTGAAAAATAAAACCGCTGCTGCAGCTACTGCTTTGCAATTCACATACCCGCTCTTTACTGCAAATGCTTGCTCCACTAGTGGAAACTCCAATCTTTCACAAACACAGGTAGGGAAAACTGTTTGTGAGGTGTTACTGTATTAAAGAGATGCATTTTAATTATTTTTGTTAAGTCTGAATGATTTTTTCAAAAAGCTTACCCTTTTAGAATTGAGAGTATATCGTTTGGGAATATTTCATTTTATTATTTTTGAGTCAGGGTCTTACTCTGTCCCCCAGGCTGCAGTGCAGTGGCAGGATCGTGGCCACTGCAGCCTTGCCCTCTTGGGCTCAGGTGATCCTTCTGTGTGTGGCTGGGACTACAGGCACACACCACCATGCCCAGCTAATTTTTTGGTTTTTTTGTAGAGACTAGGTCTTGCTGTGTTGTCCAGGCTGGTCACCAAATCCTCAGCTCAAGCAATCCTCCTACCTTAGCCTCTCAGAGTTCTGGGATTACAGGTGTGAGCCACTGTACCTTGCCGTGAAAATATTTTAAAATCCCCCGTGCAACTTAAGTTATTCAAGTTACATAGTAATAGCTTTGGTGTTACTTCTAAGTGCATTTTATTTGTGCAGTAAAGAGATTTGCCACATACTGATAAAGTTCCTGTTGCTTCATTTTTTTCAGAGTTCTAGTAACTCATGTCCTATACTTGAAGCTGCCAAGCACCAGGATATTGGATTGCCTAGGACATTTTCTTTCTGTTATCAGCAAGAGATTGAGTCCACTAAACAGACTTTAGGTAGAAACAAAGCTCTGCCCGAGCAGGTTTGGATTAAAGTGGGAGGTAAGCTGTGAAGCAGTAGTGATGGGCCTGGTTGCCTGCCTGAACCTCCCTTGCTGGCATTTGGCCTGGGACGATGGGGAGGGCTGCTGGGACACTGAAGCAGTCTTGGATTTATGTACCTTGGGCCCTCTCCGCCCACCTCCCCTGCTCATCCCACCCTGAACATCCAAATCTCATACCCATCATTGACCTTGGTGTGGAGACAGAGTTCTAGGACTTTTTCTTTTTTTGTTGTTTTGGTTTATTTTTGAGTCAGAGTCTTACTCTGTTACTGAGGCTGGATTGCAGTGGCATGCTTACATCACTGCAGCCTTGACCTGCTAGGCTTAGATGATTCTTCCACCTCGGCCTTCCAAGTAGCTGAATCTACAGGCATGCACCACCACACCTGGCTAATTTTTGATTTATTGTAGAGACGAGGTCTTGCCAAGTTGCCCAGGTTTGTCTCGAACCCATGGGCTTAGGCAATCCTCTTGTCTCTGCCTCCCAAAGTGCTGGAATCACAGGAATGAACCACTGTGCCCGGCTCCGGGGCTATTTCTTAACAGTAAAATGATGATGCATGAGTGGGACTAAGTGCTGTACTAAAAGATATTCCAGAGAGTGGCCTTGCCCTTACTGCCGTGTGAGAGCAAAGTGAGAACATGTCTTTAAATGAGGAAGTAGGCAATCACCAGGACATCAAATCTGTTGACATTTTGATCTTTGATTTCTCAGGCTTCACAACCTTGAAAAATAAATTTCTGTTGTTTATAAGTAAAAAAAAAAAAAAAAAAAGGCAGTAAAATGATAGACTTACAGAAGTGTCCACCTGTCTTTAAGTCACAGAAAACACTTTGTAGATTTGTTTTGTGTTTTATGTTCTGTGAGGCAATGTCTGCAATCTGCTAAAGGCTGTCGGAGGGTGGGTCATAGGGGAGGACACTGCAGGTGGCAAGGGACTGGTGACTCTGAAAGGTTTGGAAAGAAACATGCAGGCAAGCTGCTGACTTTGAAAGTTCACTCCCAGTCCCCTCCTCCCTGGAAAGCAAGTTTCTTGACTACCCAGTAACGTAGCACAGCTGACTCGAAGCTTCTCAGGAACTGGGGGTGGGCAGGGCGGGATGAGGACCCCACCTCTTCCTGTTTGTCACTTATTTCTCTTCCTGTGACGTTTTATGCTGAAGCTTGTGTTAACGTGTGAGGCATCAAGATGAGGATTGAAGCTGTTCCTGTGCTGACCCCTCATGTTGAAGAGTAGACTTTCCCCCTAAACGCTTGACTTCCTCTGTTCTCTTAGAGCACTTTCAAACTGACGTCCGTGTTCAGTGATTCATATCACTATGGGGAGCTTGGCTTTATATGATGTATGAACATGCATCACACCTGCTGGTCCCATGTGGTGGAAATTAGACTTGTATGCACAATGTAGTGTCAAAGCTGGGATGCTACTTCTCACTCCTTGGAGAGGAGAATCACTCCTAAGGCAAGCACCTACCTCACCTTAAGCTGCTTTAGTTGTGTTCTCTCTTCTAAGCATTGCAGTTAAATTATTCATTGCCAGAGTATTTATATATAAAGAAAATCTTTTTTGGAGATGATACTTCCTGCTTTCCATTCTGAATTTCAGAAAATGGGAACAACTGGATTTCTCTATTCATAGATAGCAACACCTTTTGATTAAAAAGAGGGACTTTTGACAAGCTTATATCAGTTGCATAACGCTTGGCAGGAATCTTTTAATTTATTGATAGATCCATGATCCATTTTGTAGCATAAGAAAGACTCAGTGCTCTGTGCCACCTGCTGTAGGGCACAGCTCTTCTGTCAGCTCTGTGCTGCTCACCCAATGCTGTTAAGTCTTGGGTTGAAATGCCAAAAAATATATTTAGCATTAACCAAGATACATTAAGAATCAAAAATTAAAATGCCACTTTTTTCTTCTTTTGCAAAGAAGAAGCTCTATGTAAACAAGCCATAAATAAGAGGAATCGGGGTAGAATACGTCAGTTGGACACAAATGTGGAACGAAGAGCCCTCGGAGAGATTCAGAATGTGGGCGAAGGCTCTGCCACCACGCAGGGTGCCTGGCCATCTTCGGAGCCCTCCCAGCCAGCTCTGGGGGAGCAGCCCCAGAGCGGACCGCAGGGAGGAAGGTCTCAGCGTAGGGAGAGGCACAACCGCATGGAAAGGGATAGAAGGTAAGGCTGCACTTCCACAGGCTGGTTGTGTGCTCTTATCTTAGATGTGCACAGCCATCGTAGCCACTGCTGTGTGCTGAGGTGGGAAAGAAGTTAAGAGTACACATTGGCTTTGCTTTGGGTGGATTAGGGACTCCCCCATGCCTCCAGCTTCAGTGGTTGACTGGGATTCACGGCCATTACTTACTACAGAGAAAGGATACAAAGCGAAGTCAGGCAGGGTACAGGGGAAGGTCTGGGGGGACCAGGCACAGGCCCCAGCATTCCTCCTGTGGAGTCAGGGAGTCCTGTGAACTCCTTGGCAGTGTGTTCTGAGCATGGGAGAGATGGTGCCTGGATTGCCAGTAGATATGTCCTGTCACAGAGATGCTCCCTGCCTGGCACGTAGCTGAGTCCTGTCTCCCAGAAGAGCAAGTGTTCAGTGGAAACCGTGTTTGCACAGTCTAGGTACTGTGAACCTCTTAACTAACTCCCAAAATCCAGGTTCCCAGAAGCCAGTTGGAGTCAGCCTTACATGCAGGCCTTTCTAAGGAGAGCGTTCAGGCTGTCATATTAGCTCTTCATGCCAGGCCACTCAGTTCTGCAAGTTTTGTTTGGGTGGGGCTTGGTGCAGTGGCTTGCACCTGTAATCCCAGCACTCTGCAAGGCCAAGATGGGAGAATCGCTTAAGCCCAGGAGTTTGAGACTAACATGGGCAACATAGTGAGGCCTCATCTTTACAAACAAGCAAACAAAACAGGTGTGGTGGCACACCTGTAGCCGCAGCCACTTGGGAGGCTGAGGTGGGAGGTTCCATGAGCCGTGGTCACACCACTGAACTCTAGCCTGGGCGGCAGAGAAAGACCCTATCTCTCAAAAAAATAAAAATAAAGTTGGGAAGGGGAAGGTTAAAGCTGTCATTTACATAGTTTTGTCTGTGGGTTCTGTTTGTACTATTCTGTGTAGACTCAAAAGATGGTTAATGTTCCCCTGTTACACGTGGGTTTTCACACAGCGTTTTCCTAATATATAATTAGTTAGCATAGTCATTTATCAAGTACTGTGTACCAGTTTCTGATGTGAACCCAGGAACTAAACAGTAGTGACTTGAAGCTTCTCTGTTGTACGCTGAGCTAAGGCCCTTTATTTTTGAAGGAGTCTATTAAAGCTAGCTGGGCATCCTCTTATGATACATGTGTGTACACACACTAACTGCAGGACTTCCCTGAGATCATTGTGAATAATAAAGGACAGTTTACCTGTTTGACATTTATTTAATGAAAATGTATTGAGTACTGACTGTGTGCAAAACCTCATCCTGCATGTTGACAGTTTGAAAGTTTGACTTTAGCTCTACTGCTAGACCTGTGGTTAGAATTAAACAAGCTGATATGTCAAGAGTGTTTGGTTCAGTGGCTAGAAGTCTGAGCACACCTAGTGGGCGCTAGTTGTTTTTAGCGTGCAAAGTCCGTAATTGAAATTCCACACATACAGTGTGAAGATGGATGCTGAGGGCCATGTGTTGGGAAGGGGAAGGTTAAAATTGTCATTTATATAGTTTTGTCTGTCGGTTCTGTTTGTACTAAAGTTGCTCGGTGCTACCTTATTAGGACGTTGCATATTACTGAATATGTAATACGTAATATGTAAAAGTTAAGCAAGCAGTCTAATAGTAAGATTCGAGTTGTGAATGAAGTGTTCTCTAAAAGGTCAGGGTTTCAGGGTTTTAGAACCCGAAGCTCTGTGGCTGCTTTTGAGTCAGGGCCCCTCGGAGTCTGAGAGCCAAGTGTGCCTCCCTAGTGTGGGAACGTGGCACGTGGGGGTGGGGGCTCTCAGTCTGGTGAATAAGTGATCTCCCAGAAAACCCACAGGTACAGATGCTGCTCCCAGTCTCAGTGGTTTGGAGCCATCCCCAGTCTAGACTTGAGCGTGGCCATGAGAAGTTGGCAGGGAAAGCGCCAGGGAGCGTGCTGGGGTATGGGGCTGCCACAGGCACCCACGGGTGCTCTGTCAGCCTGCAGGCAGAGAGTGCCTCCAGACAAGGAGTGCCTGGCAAGCATGTGATCTCTCCCATCATGGCATCTGGCTGCAGCTCGTCCATGTGATTGCTTTGGGTTTTGACTATAGGCGCAGAATCCGCATCTGCTGTGATGAGTTGAACCTCTTAGTCCCATTCTGCAACGCTGAGACTGACAAGGCCACGACTCTGCAGTGGACCACGGCCTTCCTGAAGTACATCCAGGAGAGGCACGGGGACGCTCTTAAGAAGGTCAGTCCCCTCTTGCCCGGGTAGCTTTCCTGCAGTTTATCAGCTTCCCATTGGTGGAATCTGCGCTCACCAAGGAGAGCTCACACTGACTACCCTTTGTTTCCTGGACTCGTGTCAGTGCTGAGTCCATTGTGAACAAAGCCCTGCTCATGAATGGCACACTTGTCCTCACTACATTAATCATCTCAGCCTGGACTTGTTGCAGTGCCATGTAGAAATGACCATGATATGGCCATTGTCACATGACACGTAGAGTACATGTGTGCTGTCCTGGGGCCCGAGGGTGTCTGGGCCATGATGTGTGCTCCCAGAGAACCTTCTGAAGGGATAAGAGCAAGGATAGAAGGACAGAAGTGCAGATGAATGTCCGGTAGGGAGTCTGGACTTCAGATATGGGCAGAGGGCATGCCAGTGCCATCTCCATGGCTGGGTGACTGGGGTGAAGCCGGGGCCTTTGCAGGCCTGCTTTGCTGGCTCCTGGAAGCTGAGGCCACCATGGTCCTACCTGCATGGTCCAGACAGTGACTTGCAGTGAGCCTGCTTGGTTTGAGTGAAGGAGTAGTTGGCCCTTGGTGGTTTAGAAGGAGGAGCAGAGGCCACAGGGCTGGTTTGGGGCTCGGTCCTGGGGTCTCTGGTCCAGGTGCCAGCCCAGAGTTTGGTGACCAGCCAGGGTTCTTGTTCCTCCAGGAGTTGTCAGGCCTTAGTGAGATGAGTCTGCAGGGTCCTGGCTGTGCCTTGTTCAGACTTTGGGATGGTCCCGGAGAAGCTCAACTAGAGTAAGCTGAGCCTCTGTGCCAGCATAGACGCTTCTGAGAATGTTCTGGGTTGTGATGGTGCTGGGGCCCTGGGCAGAACCCGCCTATATTGTCCCTCTTCTATGTCCATGTGATGTTTGCCTCTTATGAGCTACATAATTTCATACACTCTTTATTTTCATGCTACATTTTATTGCATTTTAAAGCAATGCTGTGTAAACCCTAATTGGATCATTTATGGTTATTTTATAATGCAGTTACTCTTCAATGTTGTTGTTAGAGATAGCCTGTTGATTTGTTTTAATAAAATAAAGCTTTTATATTTTAAAAAATTATTTAATGTTTGGCTTTTTGTACCTATTAGTAAATTATTATTGATATAAACTCCTCAAATATGACAAAGGCATTTGTAGTTTTTAAAATAAAAGATGTTTGTTAACTATATATACTCAAAGGTTAAGTAGATTAAAATTTATGGATATTTTATTGTGTAAAGTTTGCTGGGTATTCCTGCAATTTAATTATATTGAACTTGTAGATTGTTTCTGGGTCAGATCATTAACCCCATTGAGACAGAGGTTGATATGTCTGCCAGCAACCTGCTTGGGAGAATCAGGGTGCAGGCAGCCTCAGCGTGCAACCTTCTGTTTCCCCAGGGGCTTCCCCTCCTCCCTATACACTTTCTTCTTAAGATGCAGCATGCAGAATTTTAGGTGGTTTCTCTGAAGTATTTTAGAACTCATTCCATTTGACAGCTCTTTCCTCTTGTGACCAGGCACTGCGGAGGGTGCTGGGGTATCCTGGATGTGATGGAGGGAGGCACTGGACAAGGACACAGTAGCCCCCTGCTTGAGTGACTTCTGCAGAGGGACTGCTGAGGCCTGGGTGGGGCAGTACTCCAAGGCCCAAGTGAGGACCAGCATCCCAGAGCTGTGGGCCGCTGTGCTGTGGGCCTTGGGGCGGGTGCTACTCCTCGAAGACCGCCTGCCTGCCAGCCACATTGCCAGGCATGGCCTAAGGTGGCAGGATCAGGCTGTGGGCTGCAGGTGTTGGGTGGGGAGTGATATGCCCTGACCCTTGTCCTGTTGTGGTGGGTATGCTGGACTTTAGGAAGGAGAGCTGGGGTGAGAGTGACAGTTGGGGATATGCTGGCTTGCCAGGTGATGGCGAGGGCTCGAAGCTTCTTATGTTTGTAGTGGGGCTAGACATGGGACGTGATGGAAAAGAGGGATCGCTAAGTTGAGGTTGGCTTGGCAGCCAGCTGGGCAGGCCACCTTCTGACACAGAGACAGGGGAAGCTCCACCTGGGCGTTTCCGGGGCATTGGGCAGAGTGCTGAAGGCGACAGACCAGTGTGGGTCAGGGCAGGTATCGCCAGCCAGGGGGGACTCACTTTGAGTTTATCTTCTGGTGACCACAGGTGGGGCCATGAGTATGTAACCATCACCTGACTGAGCTTTGATCAGTGACTGACTCATGGTTCAAAGCAGTTCCAGACAAGTCTCTAGAGACAGGCCTTCTCCTAACAGCCCAGGCCCAGCTTATGCCCCGCTACACCGGTGATAGTTATGTTGTCCTCTAGTGCCCAGTCTGTGCTCAGATGTCCCTGACATGTTCTAACTAATTTATATAGCTGTTTCTTCCCATCACAGCCCTGCTGTGAACTGTGCATTGCATTTGATGATCTCTAGTCCCTGAGTGGCAGGGACCCACTCCGAGTGCTTCACTAAGGCGTTAGGCATGGAGAGGTGGGGCTGGTGTCTAGGGTGCTCCTCATGCTGGGCTTAGCTGGCTGCTGTTTTTGGTAATTTTAAATTTTGGTGTAGTTTCGAACTTACAGAAAAATGGCAATAGAACAAAGAGTTCCCTGCACACCTGCCCAGGGGTGGCCAGAGTCCCCGCCTGTCTGGGCTCTGTTCCATGTCCCTGTCCTTCCCAGTCTCTTTATGTCTATCTGTTGGGCCCATTAGACAGCGAGTTGCAGGTACCTGGCCTCTTTATTCCTAAATGCTCCCGTGCTTACTCAACAACAAATGCATTATATAAACCAAATGCTGTGATCCAAAGCAGGACATTTGACACTGGTGTCACACTGCTGTCTCCTGTATTTGGGTTTTGTCTGTTGTTGTGACAACACCCTTCACAGCCTTTTCCCCAGTTGAGTTCCACTGGGATTGCCCGTCGTGGTTGATGTCATGAGACGCCATTTTAATCTGAGGCTCTCGGGATTACTGGGCATTCTTCTGCTGTGCATGGCCATTCCCTTGTCCCCAAGTGGGTCCCCATACACCATCTGCAGTCAGGCCCTGTCACCCACTCAGGGACTGCCCTGTGCCTCCTGATCTGCTGACAGGCTGTGACCTCTCCGGTTTCCCCCGGGACACGCAGACCAAGTCCCTTGCAGGCAGGCACCCCTGTGTCTGCTCCTGGCTCCCAGCACGCAGTGCAGCTGGCTTCAGGTCTCCTCCTCCACCTCCCCTTCTGCACCCCGTGACCCTGCCCCAACACTGTTCGGCGGGTGGTAGGTTAAGGCTGACCCACTGGCCTCTCAGTAGTGTGGATACTCTGCCATTCTCTTACCAGCCTCCAAGATGCGCTCTCCCTCGTGGGGTGCCTTCTTATCCCCCACCTTCCCAGCAGTGGTGTCCGACTGAGTCCGTGGTCCTGGAGCTGAGGGGCTCAGGAGATGGAGTCTCCCCAGTCGTGTACTGTGTCCAGAGATCCAGCCCTCCAGGCTGAGACCCCTGCCTCACCCTCCCCAGACAGCCCTAGCCTTCTCTCATGGGGAGGGAGGGTGGGCTGCCCCACTTGATGGGTAGTGCCCGGGAAGGGGGCCCTTCCTTGCCGAGACCCATGGCTATCCCTTGGGGCCACCTTCCCCTACAGATCCTTTCGAGGGCCCGCGAGTGCTGCCTTTTCTTGTCAGCAGGGTCGACGGTGCTCACATTCCACTATATGCCTTCCAGAATGTCATTTTCATGAGCAAACCTACAGGATTTTGTGAGTGATGACTCGCGTGCTCTGTGTCCATGCGCACATGAAGCCCCTTCTGCAGTGGACACCCAGCCAGGTGGATATTCTGTTCTTCTCACATGCGGAACCCGACCATGATGGCCTTGAAGGGACTGGGCACTGTGGCCTGCCAGAAGTGCATGGCCACTGGGCACTCCTGGGAGATGGGTACCCACACAGGCACCTTGGCAGCACATGTGGAAGCACGGAGGGAGGAGCAGGATGCCGGCCCGTCTAGACCTGTGTTCAGGAACATGGTGAACCATGTCTGGTGACTCGGTGTTCACGTGCTGAGTCCTGCTGGGAAGTGTGCGTGGAGCTTGGGTTGGGAGCTTGGGGACCATTTGCTGAGTCACTGCTGGTTTTGTGATGTCTTTGTTATCGTTCACTAGCACAGAGGCCATCCTGTGGAAGGCCAAAAGACAGGTGACACCTGTCCCAGTTCCTGTGGAAACTGAATGTTTGCTTCGTTCTCTTTCTAGCATGTGTGAAAGAGTCCCCCTTGACTGCCAGCAGCCTCTGTGGCTTGGCTGTGGCACAGTGGCCAGCACTGTGTTGCGACCTGCCCTAACAACAGTGTCTTGGAGGAGACCGTCACTCTTTGCTCTTTGTCCTGAGGTGTGTGTTGTCCTGAGGTGTGTGTACCTTCTTCACCTGTGGGGTCCTGGGCTCCCTCCTCTGCCACACCCTCTCCTGGGGCCTGCTGGCAGGGTCTTCCTGGAGAAGCCCCTGGGGCTTGCTCTTGGTTTTTGTGTGAGCCAGTGGTAGTGTTTTTCTATCATAATTTGTATTTTTCTTTATTATTTTAAAACCTTATTTCTGTCATTTCCTTTTTTCTTTAAGTTTTAATTTCTCTGGTATCTTGAAAGACTTACTTTCAGTCTTGTTTTTGAATCAATCAATGCATCTGAAGTAAACTTGTCTGTGTGCTCTTTTGGAAACACCCCACAGGTTAGGGTGTGACGCTTTCGTTGTCTCTTGGTGCTAAACACCTTGTAACTCTGACTTGCTTGCCTCTGCAACATACACATTCTCTGGAAGTAGAATTTAAATTTCCATATATGTAGGAGTCTTTTTCTGTCTTTAAAAACAGCTTCTGTCTATTTCTCGTGTTTATAATGTGATCAGAAGATGCTCTATATAACAAGGCAGTTTTTAAAAACTTTTGCAACTTCCATTGTGACCTTGTGTGTGGTCAAATTTTTTTTTTTTTTTTTTTTTGAGTCAGGGTCTCATTCTGTCACCTAACCTAGGCTGGAGCACAGTGGCACAATCACGGCTCATCACAGCCTCGACCTCCTGGGCTCAAGGGATCCTCCCACCTCAGCCTCTCAAGTAGCTAGGACTACAGACTGCATCACCACATCTGGCTAATTTTTAATTTTATTTTGTATTTTTTGTAGATACAGGGTCTTGCTATGTTGCCCAAGCTGATGTTGAACTCCTGGGCTCAATCAATCCTCTCACCTTGGCTTTGCAAAGTGCTGGGATTACAAGCATGAACCACTGCGCCCGGCCTTGTATGTAGTCAATTTTTAAAAGTCCTGTGATTATTTGGAAGAATGTGCTTTCTCTGTTTGGGGATCTGCTTGTCTCTTTCCAGCTCCAGGAGACTAGACAGCACAATTTAACACCACTGCTGCCCAGCCATTCAGAGTAAAGACAGACGCTCAGGACCAGCCTCATCATTATGTGAAAATGGCTCAGAAAGTCTCTCAAGCACTTTCTTATGTCTGAAGGATGACTGCTTTCTTCTTTCTGACTCTCATTTAGTTAATCAAAGAGGGAAATTCTCCCTTACTGAGCACAGGCCCATGTTTCATATGTAGGCCCTAGGTGTCAGGATATAGGAAGTTATCAAGCACTTCGTCTTAAATTGCATCCTATGAGCATGTTTATATGCAGATATAGCTTCTGTGTGTGGTCACATCGGAAATGGCAGATTGCTCTGGTTGGATTGTCACTTAGCTTGTGGATGGGTGGAATGTTATGGCCACCCCAGATGACTCAAGTGACATCAATGGCAGCAGAGTGCTTGTCTCTTCCTGGCCTTGAATTAAGAATAAATTTGCTACAACACGGTAACAAAAAGACAACAGAAACTGAAAAGCGGGCAGAGGCCTTGAATAGAGGTTTCTCCTGAAATGCACAGACGGCCAGTAAGCCCAGGAAGGAATGTGCCAAGTGCTTGCCATTAGGATATATGAGCCAGAGCCATGGTGAGATGCCACTTCACGCACGTCAGATGGCCTCAAAAAACACCAGAAAGCAACAAGTGCTGGTGAGAATGCAGACAGACCCAGAACCCTTGAATGTTGCTGGTGGGAATGTGGAACGGTTCCACCACGTGGAAGGCAGGACGGGGTGCCTCAGAAAGCTGAACATAGAATTCAGAGTTGAAAATGGGACCAGAAGGATGGTTTTTTGTGGATGTTCACAGCCGTGCCATTCAGAGTAGTTGGAAGGTAGAAACAAGCGGTGCCCACCGACAGGTGAATGGGTAGATACACAGTGACTGTTCAGCCATGAAAAGGAAGGAAGCACTTGACAGGTTACAGCAGGGGTGGCCCAAGAAGCTTTGCAGAGTGAAATGTGTCCGTTCCAGAAGATAAACACTGCTTGATTCCACTGCACAAGACACCCAGAGTTGTCACTTCTTAGAGATGAAAGCATGAAGGGGGCACTGGGGGTGGGGGCAGTGAGTATTGAATGGGGATGGTTTCTGTTTGGGCTGGTGAAAAAGGAAACTGGTGGTGGCCTCACAGCCCCGCGCGCGTGCTTGGCATCCCTGGACCATGCACGCAAAAGTGCTTACTGGCACGTTTTGTTACAGATATTTTACTATGCTAAAAAATATGTAGGGCTGGATTTAATTATGTAGAGTGTGATGTGGCAAGAAGACAGAAATTTCCAAACATGCACAAGACCGGAGAGAACAGTGACCTCCAAGCCTTGAGACTTGTCTCAGTCCCGCCTCCCGCCCTCACTGAGCTACTAAGGCATCTCCAGACATCATTCACACAAATGTCTCTGAAAAGAAAGGGCTGTCTAAAGACGGGGCCCCAGCATCACTGCCATCCCAGATGCCACTGTCCTTAGCACCCACCTCCGCTCAGGGTCCTCAGGGCTCATGCCAGGTTTCATGGTCACCTTATCAGAATCAGGATCCAGATGTTGCATCTGGCTGGTAGCTTTTAAATATCTTTTAATCTATGGTAGTTCTCCTTCTGCTTTTTTTTTTCCTGTTGATCTATTGAAAGCTGAATAATTTGTCCCGTAGACATTCTTGCCTTCTACACTGGGCTTGTCTGAGTGGCTCTTGCCCTCTGTGGTGTCCTGTGGTTCCCACAGGCTTGAGGAGACTGAGGCCATCTACCTGGGCTTCCCTCCTGTCCTTGCCTCTCCTTCTGTGAGTGGAGACTGACCCAACCATTATGATTGAGGAATTTTGAAAAACAGAGAGGTGGAGTGGCAAGTGGCAGGAGCAATGGCCCTCTGTGAGCATGCCCCCCCCACCATGTGCAAAGCCAGCTGTGAGGGGCACCTTCCCTGTGCTGGCCTCCAAGCACTCACTGTGCAGGGGAGTGGAGGAGGGGAAGTTACCGCAGGACACTTAAGAATGGTTTAAATGGTAAATTTATGTTATGTATATTTTGTGTCAATAAAACTAGTATGCCTGCTTTTACAACATGGCCAGACATTTGGGGAGTTTATTGGAAAAACTAAATAATGATACATGTGCAGGGTAACTGCTGTTTGAGACAAGTGTGGGAATCCCTGTGTTTATCACTTGTACCCCCATGAGGTGTGGTTGTTTGGAAGTGCTTACTCAGCTCTCAGTTCCACCCTGTTGTGCTTGGGAGGAGAGCAGCTCTAACGTCTACGAATCCAGTGCATTGACGATCACTTCTTGACTTTAGGAATTCGAGAGTGTGTTCTGCGGTAAAACTGGCAGAAGGCTAAAGCTGACCAGACCAGACTCCTTGGTGGCCTGTCCTGCACAGGGGAGTCTTCAGAGCAGCCCAGCAATGGAGATCAAGTGATGGGACTGGGCGGCATAGGCCAGGAGGGAATGGCCTCGCTTCGTGATCGCACATGTGTTCTGGGACCTGTACCAGCTGTGGCAGCACAGGCCCAAGGACACGACTCCAGCTGCCAGGCCCCAGTAGGGACTCGGAGCATGCCCTGTAACAGCACTTATCTAGAGGGGGACACTTGTCCACTAAGGTCTTCTTAGACCACTCGCGAGGAAGACATCTTGATAATTAGTAAGTACTTTTTCAATTATCTGTCTGATTCCATCATGTTTTCTTAACATGATAACTTTAAAAATTAACATCCTTTGTAATTTGTCTTGAAAGTACATTGCTTTTCACTTATTTATTTACATTTTAAATCTGTCCCTTTAGCAATTGGAATGCGTTAAATTGTTTTTGACTAGAAGTAGTTTGGAAATTTCATTTCATTGGTTCTGTCACTCCCCTGTCAGGCGTCCAGCACGTGGTGCTATATTGCAAAAGCTGGACAATTTTAAGCCTTTTTGCTAAAAATTCTCCAGAGACTTCCTTTAAAGCTACTTTTGTCCACACATGAAATGTTGTCTCAGTAGATTGCTTAAATGCATATTGAGAGTCATTATTTATGTGCAATAAACTGTGGTGTTTGGAACTGAGTTTTTCCAGTGAGTGGCTTTATTTATCACAACAGGTAATACCAGCAGGTGTTAGTGCAATACAGAGTCACCATCCATACTGTTCATTGGAGATGCTTGTACACAATCGTGGGTAAATCAGACCAGACCTTGGTGTCGAGGGGACACTGTACACTGAAGTCTTTATTTTTGTTACACTGCAGCCAGTCATTCACCTGGAGAGCTAATATATAATTTTATTGGGATTATATTAGTCTTTACTCAAATGCTGTGTGAACAAGCTGCTGTGTATTTGTCATCTCATGGAATTGAACAGAACTTTCTGTATGCACACCCATGTGCTCTCAGACGCTGGGTTTCAGACTTCTGCCTGGGGCTGTGTTGAGGTATGCTGGCAACAGGTGTGGCTACTGTGAGTGGGTGTAGGCAAGTCCTTGGACGATAGCCGGTCACGAAGCGTGCAGGCTGTGACCAGGTATCACCATTGAGGATGCTGAGGGCAGGCTGGGGCTCCTGGATGCCACCTGCCTGCAGCCATCCATGCCTCAGCAACAGAGCGCTGCTTGTTCTGGGCCCAGGAGCCTGCGTGTCTGCATCGTCTCACTGTCTCGCACGTGTTGTTCTTATGAGCTTCTGGAGCCTGATTTCTCCCCACTGCCTCCTAACACAGCTCCTTGGCAGGCGGAGGTGTCACAGATGCCTGGGGTTCCCTGGGCACCCACAGCACCTGGGAGCCCAGCGTCACCGGGAGGTCCTGGCTCACCGGGTGCGCCATCCCGGCCGTCCTTGCTGACTCCGGGCACACCTTGTGGGCCTGAGACAGAGCAGAGGCAGTTAGAAGCAGTGAGGACCAGAAAGCCATCATGCCTCACCCCCGAGCACACCAGCCTAGCCCTTCTTTTCCCTAGCTGGTTGCTTGGCCTAGAGGAGGCTGAGAGCAGGGACAGAGCCTCTATGAGGGGTGGAGGTGGTGGGAGCAGGGAGGATTAAGGCACCATGGGAGGGTGATACCACTGGGATGAAGGGGTGTGTTGGGTGGGGGTACAGGAGGGGTGGGCAGGAGGGGAGGCTAACCTTGTGGGAGGCCACAGGGAGGCTGTGGTGAGTGATGGTGCCGACCTGCTGGGAGGGACTGGGTGTGGGCAAAGGGGGAGCCCACCACCTGCACGAGGGCACAGAGTCCTGAGCAGCAGTGCCATGGTACAGCTCAGATGCCAGTGTCCCCCAGGAATGGCAACACGGAGATGTGTTAAAGCTACACAGGTGGAGGTCCAGCCATAGTGCCTGAGACCCTGAGCACTCAGACACTGGGTGGATACAGCTGGGCCTGCAGAGGAGGACCCAGGGGTATTCAGTGTAGCCTCAGGCCGGCAAGGAGAGGGTTTGGGGGCCCTCTCTGCCCACCTGCGGGGTGGAGGGCGCTGGAGGAAAGCCATAGCCAGTGGGTGTTTGTTCTATCAAAAACCAGGATGCCCCAGATTTAAGGCTTGTGTGCGGGTGAGAAGGGTCCTGCACAGAGTCTTCTAGAAGCCACAAGGTCCTAGGATGGGGGTGGGGAATTGAGGGGGTGGCCTTTACCAGGGACAGCAACACTATCTTCCTCCCTCACAAAGCACTTCTGACATTCAGAAGTTGAAACTCAATGAGCATGTAGGTCCGTTAAGAGGAAATCCCATTAGAATTTAACTGAGATAAATACTACATGCTTTAGTGAGACAGTGTAACCAAATCCCCTCGGCTAAAATAAAAACAGGAGGACCTGTTTCTGGATTACACTGTCACGTTCAAAGTGGTTACCAAGATGATGCCTAGACTTGCCTCTAAGATTGCTTTGCCAAGAGAAAGAACCATTTCCTTTATAAGAAAGTGCATCGTGTGCATGACCGACTGCCCCCAGATGAAGTCACAGATGTGGGAGACATCACGCAGCTCGTACCTGGGAGTCCCTGATCGCCGTCAGGCCCATCCAGCCCTGCGCCTGCTGTGCCCTTGTCTCCTCGGTCTCCCTGGTTTCCTGTAGGGGCGTTGGACACACACACACATGGTTAGAATGTCTGCACAGCCATCTGGCAGCGCTGGATCCCACCTTCTAGCAAGTTGGGTGCCCTCCTTTGACAAGCTTTTCTGAAGTGGGACCGTTTAGAAAAGTAGAGCTTGACACATCTGGCAAGAAGATCTCCTGTGTGCAACCATGTGCCATGAGATGGCGGCCCCACAAGATGGGGCACCGTGTGTTCCCTCCACCTTTTCTACGCCGGGATGCGTTTACATACAGACACCACTGTGTGACAGCTGCCCATAGTGATGTGCTGTGCAGCCCAGGGGCCACAGGCACTGCTCAGGTGGGTAGCACGCCCCACCCAGGAATGTGTGAGGACTCTGATGCTCACACAGCAGTGACATCCCTGCCGACCCGTTCGTTGCTCAGGACACACCCCTGTTGCTGGCCAGTACCTCCCTGGCCCTCGTGGCCAGCTTGGCTGAGATTTTGGTTTTGTTCAAAATATCTGTGCCTATTAAGTAGTTGGGGACTTATTTGCAATCATATTTTCCATTTGACTTTTGGCCCATGAGTCACCTGAGAGTGCTTTAAATGTGTCTCTGATGGCTGTGCCAATGTCACGCCTCTGGGTTTGGGCTGCATGAGCTGCGGTTATGGTAACAGGTGTGCTAACGTTTAATCTGTTACTGACTGCAGATTATTGGCACGGGCTTTGCATGTTCTGAAGCATGAGATATGTCTGTCATTTTGGAGTTACACTCCTGGCCAAGGGATCCTTCTTCAGCGCAGTGATCTGTGTCTTGCCTGGTATCTGACAGCATCGCCACCTTGTTCTGGCTGGGGTTGGCCAGTGTTTTTCCCAATCCTCCCTTCTGAGTCCATGAGAAGCACAGGTATGACCACAGTACTGAGGTCATGGAGCAGCACTGCCCACTCACACATCCCACATGGCTGCTGGCAGGGTGACCTTGGCACTATGGTGGGCCTCTCCTGTGGGCCGCCTGGTGGGCAGTGGGCCTTACGGGCCTCTGGTGCCCAAGAAATCTGATGTGACTGGCCTGACATGCTGTGTCCTTGGGTTGGGGAGATGTACTCCTGCCCAGGGCTGCTTTTCCAGGGAGGGGACACGGAGGCACAGCAGTGACAGTGGACTGCAATGTGTACAGCCATGCACATATATTCCCATTTAATCCCCACAACAACCTCTGGGTCTCCCATGCCTGCGTGCAGAGATGGGCTCCAAGAGCCTTCTCCCAGGAGACGCTCCCCCACAACCCGCCTGTCTTCAGACTCAAATTAGAAGGCGCAGCAGCCCGGGGGATGTGCAGTGACCACGCGTGGCTGTGTGGCCTCTGTGGTGTTTCACTAACATCGTGCTGTTTTCTGAGAGAACCGGGGAAGGTGACAAATATTCTTTGTGAATTTTGTTTTCAACAGTCTTGAACTCAGGTCCCCGTGGGAAGATCTTGCATGGGCTCTTTCTGAAGACCGCAGCCCCACGTGGCCCAGGACTAGCCCAGACAGCCTGAAAAGGTCGTACCTCCATGAAGGTTCCAACATGAAGTGGTTGGAGGGTCCCTAGGGGACGGATGTCGCCTGTGGGCAAGGTGGATTGGCCCTGTCTGCCTTCCGGGCCTGAAACCCCAGGCCCTCTTAAGTGTCTCAAAGAGAAGCTGCATGCCCGTGCTCACGGTGCATAACGGACTTCCCTGCTGAGATTAAATTTCCATCTCAGATGAAGAAAGGAACTCAGAGTTAGGTTTCCCTTAGACACTTTTTCACTTCAGCTGTTCTTGAGAAGCAAGAAATCCCTAGGCTGGTCACTTGAAAGCAGCTGGGATTGTGGCTTTAAATCTTCACTTGGGTGCAAAGCCGGCTGCCTGGACGCGGGCCCTGCTGGGCACAGTTGTGGTTTTAGAATAAACTGCATTTTCAAGACCTGTTTGTGAAAGGTTAGTGTCCAGCCATTCATGCAACACTGTGTGTTTCTCTGCTTCTGGCCCCGAAGCTGTCTTAACTGGTCAGCACCATCTGCCAACAAGTTTCATCTCACATCTAAATTAAGGCATCCCGAGTTCTCTGTGGTCCTTCAATGGAGAGAGCTTTGGCTTTTCAGCCCAGTCTGTGTCTCCTCCTGTTCCATGAAGGCGTGGCTCTAGTGCAGATGCAGCTGCTAATTCACCCTCATACTTTAATCCACCTCACCCACAGGCTTGGGGAGATGTTCACATTTTAAAACCAAGTTCTAGTTCTCAAAATTAACGAGGAGTTATCCGTGCTAGGCCCGACGGTGTTCCAGAGTTACCCGAGGATGCCTGACCCACCCTCAAAGCAGTGTCCCATCATTACTCAATCTTTTATGGCATTTTTATAGCAGAGCGATGGTGGCCTGGGGTCCACTGCTCACCTCTGGGTCCTGGGTCTCCCAGCTCCCCTGTGGGACCACGGTATCCAGGGGGTCCTCGTGCACCAGGGTGGCCGATGGAGCCTGGGGGGCCAGGGGGCCCAGGGGGACCAGCCGGGCCGGGCCGGCCAATGGAACCTGGCGCCAGAGGCTTCCTCAGGTGTGTGGCCAGCTGGGCAATTTGCTCTTTTGGAAACAAGGGCGCAAGCATTTATTCAGAGTGTGCCGGAAGCACGTCTACCAACACAGTGCTGCCTTCCTCCTGATTGGCTGAGAGAGTTTTGACTGCTTGGGTGTGTAGCCAATGCAGGGGCTGGAGGGGGGTCCTCATCCTCTTGGGGCTGGAGAGGGGAGTCCTCATCCTCTTGGGGCTGGAGGGGGGTCCCTGTCCTCTTGGGACTGAGAGGGGTCCCTGTTCTCTTGGGGCTGGGGAGAGAGCCCCATCCTCTTGGGGTTTGAAGTGGAGTCCTGTTTTCTTGGGGCTGGAGAGGGGTCCCCATCTTCTTGGGGCTTGAGAGGGATCCCCTGTCCTCTTGGGGCTGGGGAGGGAGTCCCATCCTTTTGGGGCTGGAGGGGGAGTCTACATCCTTTTGGGGCTGGGGAGGGAACCCCGTCCTCTTGGAGCCTCAGACCCTGAGTTAGAGGGTGAAGCGTGTGTCTGGGAGGTTGGTAGCTGCCCTGGGCAGAGGGCCCTACCTCTGTCCCTTGTACCCATGGGACTTTGGGGCTCTGTTGTGGGCTGGGCACTGTGTGACTCCTGGGACGGGGAGACCCTGAGGCTGACAGGCAGGGCTGGGCCCGTGGCTCATTCTGACTGGACAGTGGCAGGGGAGCAGAGGCTCTGTGTGTCGGCCTTGCTGAGACCCAGCAGGCAGCCCACCCCACAAACACACCCACCCCCGGGGGACTTACCGCTGATAAGCCCCCCACACAGCTCCCGGATGCGCTGTTCACTGGCCTCCTTCCCCTGAAATAGAGCCGTGAGCTTTCAGTGTGGGGGCAGCACCTCTTAGGGCCTTCCCCCTTCACAGCCCAAGGAGCCCAGATTGCTTAGAAAGGTGTCAAGCCCAAGAGCCACATGTTGATAAAGGAGAAGCCACGTACCGGGACTCCTGGCTTCCCTGTGATGCCAGAGATGCCCTGGATGCCCTGGGAGCCTAGGGGCCCTGGGGGGCCTGGAACACCCTGGACGCCGCTGGTGCCGTTGGGCCCCTGGATGCCTTTGGGGCCCAGCTCCCCTCGACTGCCAGACTGTGGAGATAACAGCACAGAAGTGGAGGTACCTGCCCGGCACAGAGCCCTGTTGGCCTGGCGCAGCCACATCATGTTTCCTACGCTCAGCGCTGGGCTGCCCAGTGGGCAGGAGGCCAGCAGGCTCCTTTGGGTCTTATTGTGGGAACATCCCAGACACTCACCTCTCCTTTTGGTCCCACGGGGCCCTTAGGACCCTGTGAAGAGAAGAGCTGCGTTCAGCACTCTGCACTTGTTAGTGGACCGGAAGGGCTACTGGGGACTGTGGGCATGTTGTCAGTTGAGGACACAGAAGATCTGGTCACCCACACCTGCTAGTGACCACACTGCAACCCTGGCCATGGCATTCTTTGTAGTCTTCTGTGCACACTTCATATTGCTGAGGTTGTTCAACCATTGATGTTTTTTAAAACTTACTTTCCCTAAAGAATGATTATTGTCTCTTATACACATTCACATCCTTTTGTTGTTGTTACTGCTGCAAATAATGCTGAACTGAGCGTCTCTGTCCTGAAACTCGGGGCCCCCATCCCTGGTCCTCAGGAAAGACTGTGAGCCATGTCATAGGCAGTCTTCTGTAGCCTGAATGCCCCCCTCCCCATGCATATTCAAATATGATCACCACTGGGATGCTGTTAAGAGGTGGGACCTTGATGAGGTGGCTGGATGAGGCTCTCCCTCACCAGGAATCACGCTGTGGTCTCAGGGGTGGGTCCTGATAAAAGGACAAGCTCCACCCCTTTTCTTTTGCATGCTCTTGGCCCTTTCATGGGAAGGTCCTTGCCAAATGCATTCTCAGCCTTGGACTTCTCAGCCTCCGGAACTACAAGCAAAATACATCTCTTTTCTTGTAAATTACCCAGTCTGTGGTGTCTCTTAAAGCCCAGAGAATGGACGGTTATATCACCAGAGAGCAGGTGAAGTACCTGGTCCTGCACATGACACCTTGGTCAGGCCAGCTTCCTGATGGGCCACGGCCACGTCAGGAAGCGTGGAGGGGTGGGTGTCATCTTACACAGCCAGTCCGCTACGAAGTGGAGGACAAAGCACTGAGCTTCCCAGCTGAGGAGACTCCATCCCCTTGGACATCACCCACCACCCCACCAGTGATGTGGCTGGCAGGGCTGTTCCTGAGATTTCCAGGGTCTGTTTGTCCAGGCCATCCAAGAATTCACCAAAACAAAACACACACAGCTGAGATGATTTTGGCTTGAGGCACAGCACATTTATACTACGAGGGTTTTGCCAGAGCCCATACCCCTAGGGGAAACCCAGACACAGAAGGACTTGGTGACAGAATGAACACCCTGGGCCCCCTGAATGACAGGGGGTCTCCTTTCCCTCCGACCTTGTGGCTGTGCCATTTCCCTGGCCTCCAGAGGGAGTGCCAGTCTGTTAGTGGATGCTCAAGGACTTTACTACGCCTGAGTCTGAGCCCCGTGGAAACAGAGTTTTGTGTGGTTAAAACTCAACTGCGACTAATTCATGCCAAAGGGCCCTAGAGGCAGCCGCGTTCAAGCGGGTCATATACCATGTGAGGGCAGAGGTGGAGACCCCGTAACTTGTGGGCTGCCTTCCTCCTGGGACTTGCAAAGGGGTGATAGGAGGCCAGGGCCTCGGGCCGGCCCTGCCTCTGTCACATCCTCCCCAGACGACTGACTTTTTCCTCGGGATCCACGGACAGTCCCCACCCAGTGTGGCTTGATTATTGTGTGTTATTCCTAGCAGGGCTAACGTCACACTCACCAGCTCTCCCTTGTCCCCAGGAAGGCCATCAGAACCAGCAACACCCTGGAAATTATATGCCCAAAGTTAAAAGAACCATTGGTGCCTCTCATGGACTTCACACCTTGAGCCAGTGTCCTCAAGCCTTGGCATGTAGCCTCTGCCTGAGACTGAGCCTGAGTCTGGGCTTAGGACTGGCCTTTTCAGGACCTGCTCTTAGACCAGCTCCCGGGGCCACCAGGACCTTGCACTCGAGGCCTCAGGTGGTCACAGAGCTGGGGTCACCTATTTGCATAATGAAGCTTTTCTGCCAAGCAGACCCTGGCATGCAGTGAGACTGCTGCGGGTCCTTGGCCAGCACAGATAGGCCCCCACCCTCGCGCGTCTCCAGAGAGAAGACAAGCGTTTTCGACCTGCTTCTGCAACCTGCCTCTCCCACAAAATCACTGTTCCAGGACAACAGGAAGTCCGCCTTCCCTGTGAGAGCACCTATGGGTGCCACCCGGACCAGAGGCAGCCCCTGCTGCACCCATGGTCATACTGGGGATGTCTGCCTGCTAGCTGTGAGCACCAGGAAGGCAGCTTGCCCCTGATCCCTGCCCCAGGGCCACATGCCCCAAGCAGCAGGAGTGACAGGAGCCAGAGAGTGACCAGGAAAGACAAAGAGGAAGAGACATGAGGAACGCTCAAGAGTTCTCAAAACAGACCCAGGGCCACAGAGCCAACGGGCAGAGCTCTGTGAACAGCAGGCAGCTGAGCAGTCACAACTTTCACCATGGCCATAGGCATCCACTCACCTGGTCTCCCTTGGGGCCTGTCATGCCTCCTGGGCCCTGGGTGAAACGAAGATGCAGGTTAGAGGACTCACAGGAATCCCTCCTGGGCCCAGGAATGGCAACCACCCCTTGCACTCGCTTCTGACGGCACAAGGCGCTACTGTGCACGCCAGCCCCTGACATGGGCTGAAGGCCAAGCTCCCGTCCACAGATCACAAGGGACAGCTCTGGACACACTGCCCCACGTGGGTGTCCTGCCAGTGCCCCAGGTCCCACCCAAAGAGCTGTTGTCTCCTCACAGCCCCCTTGAGTCATGCCTTGTGGTCTTGTGGCTTTTATGTTCCATGTGGTTTGTGGTAGCCGTGTATCGTATGCAAGTCTGTGCACATGCAGCCCTAGGGCAATTTCAGCATGGTGGAATCACTGTGTCTAACCCCACAGCTCCTGTCTGTCACCCTCCCATCGGATTCCGACACGGATGGCATGTCTGGGACTTGCTGGGACCCTTTGGCAGGATGTCCCTGTGCTCATACAGCAGCCAAGAACCCCAAATGCCGACTCGCAGATCCAAAGGGAAAGGAACTTTGCAGCCGGCCCTACGTGGGTCCCAGCCATGCCCAGCCCTGCCATGTCCTGAGGCCCAGGGTTGATGGTGTGTCCCAACCTCTAGAATTTCCTGCCTGGAGGCTAATGCAGGACTTGCTGTCCCTACTGTGGGAGGCGGGTGTCTACAGCCCCAACCTCCACCCTGGGTGAAGGGGCATTTGCAGCCAGGCCTGGAGCCTTCCCGGGCCCTGTGTACATGTCAGAAGATGGTTCTGTCCCTGCCCAGCAGGGGACCATGGCTGGCACATGAAGTCCTCAAGGTCTCCAAGGACCTGGTAGGACATGACTGGGACTGGGGCCCGGGCCCAGACCAGACCCACAGGCAGCCCTCCTGGTGGCCCAGGCCTTGCCCCCCAACACCTGGACCCTGGACAAGCCCCATGGCTCCCCTGTACCCTGACCCCTGGGATCCAGCATCTTGGTCTACTGGGAGACTAGGAGAGTCTGGATGAGCCAGAAGCTGTGACTGCGACCATCACTGGGGATGCTGGTGTTCCCACCTGTTGTATGGCAGGTGGACCTGACAGTGACGCCTCAGCTGGCCCAGGCGGCAGCAGCCATAGGGTGCCTGGAGCTGTCTCTCCCCCACCTGACTATTGAGCACCGACTATGTGTGGTGGCCCTATCAGGCTGCTACATGGGGCAGGAGACAGAGTGTCTGAGGATTCTGCAAACCTCTGGCCCACGAGGGATGCCTCGTGAAAGGGCAGGGACCAGGCACTAAGTCTGGGGTCCTGATGCTGCCTCCATGCAAGTGTGCAGGTCCAGAGGACTCCTCATGGGGAGCCAGGGGTGCCCCTCTCTGTCCATGTTCCCCAGGACTGTGGTAGGTGGGGTCCAGTGGGGGCACTTCCTGCAGGAGGGTCACTTACCCGGTCGCCCACATCACCTCGGAGGCCCTGGGGGCCCGGGAGTCCGGGGTCTCCCATGCTGCCCTTCCGGCCCTGTGGAAGGATCCCACTGTCAGTGCTCATGGGAGCCCAGTCAGGGGCCCACCCCATCCAACCTGCCCCACCAGTCTCACCACCCCTGGCTGGGTATGCTAGTCACCTTGCCCCACCCTCACCTACCTGAAAGCCTCGGACTCCAAGTGCCCCAGGAGGGCCTTGCGGGCCAAGGGCCCCCTGAAAGGCAAAAATGGGGTATAAGTGGGTGTCCTGAGGTCTGAGGGGTCCCTGAGGGTCTCGGGAGCCTCTGTGGTCTGGGTAGGGTAGGCCTAGCCCAGTCCTGCCTCCCCCAGGGCTGGGTGGACAAGGGAGCTGTCCTTGGGCTGAGTTACTGGGGACAGAGGCAGGGGCACCTCTTGGGGTAAGCTCAGGGGGTCTCAGGGCTCAGCACCCCTGGACCCTACTTGCCAGGCCAACCCTGGTGCCAGACACCCACACACATGCCCAGGGCCCTCTGACTGGCACTGTCATCATCTTGGTCTTCGAGGCTGCAAGGCCTGGGTAATTTCCACCTGGACTTCTAGGGTTGGAGGCTGGGCCTCAGCACAAAAGTCTTGAGGATGAGGCACCTCCTTCGGTCTTGCTGCTCCTGGCTCCTGGTAGGCGAGGGACAGGAAGGGGCCTCACCCCTCCCGGCATCCTCGGCTTCAGTGGGCCTGGGCCATCTATGCTTGCTCAAAAACTGAAGTCGCCCACCGGAAGCTCCACGCCTATCCCCCAACCAGTGCCTCGGACCCACTCACCGCTGAACCCCTGTGGCCAGCCTCGCCGCGCTCCCCAGGCACGCCAGGGTCTCCCTGCAGGGAGGCAAAGGGGCACATGAGAGCAGGGCCCCGTGCACACGGCAGGGGGTTGGGGAGGGTGGCAGATACTCACAGGGACTCCTGGCTCTCCCGACGGCCCGGCCTCCCCAAGCTCGCCAGCTCTGCCCTACAGAGGAACAGAGGTCGTGAGCGCTGCCCTCGTCCCCTCCCGTGTCCCCTGGGGTCTGGACCCTGTCTCCCTCCATGCCCGGGTGGAAGCAGCACAAAGCAGCACGTACCAGCTCTCCTTTCTCGCCTTTGGACCCTGCTCGTCCGGGGAGTCCCTGCCGGGATAGAGGCCAGGTCAGGACTGCTGAGTCCACAGGCCGCGGGCACATGAGCAGCAGCCCATGATGGCATGGGACACTGGGAGCATGCCTGGGGCCCGAGATGCAGCCCCCACGGAGCGGGACTGACTCCTCCAGCCCTGCCAACCTGGGGCTCCCACAGCTTCCCCACCAAATGCAGAGCCTGCAGGGTCCCCCATGGGGACAGCCCCAGGAACCCCATAGAAAGTCCCTTGGTGACCAGTCCACCCGGCCTGGCCCACACTCACCGGCAGCCCATTGGGGCCCTTTTCTCCTGGGGCACCGTGGCGACCTGCCTCTCCCTGTGAGGACAGCGATCAGGTGTGGGACAAGGGTGAGGAGGCCTCAGGAGGCTGGACTTCCTCCACCCCCTGCCTTTCCTCACACCCCCAGCCCCAGCACCAACCTTCTCGCCATCCAGTCCTGGCACACCGTCCCGGCCGTCTTTGCCCGGCATGCCCTGGGGACAAGGGACGCTGTGGCTTATTGGGCAGGGGCCACACCACCCACTGTCCTGTCCTGGTCAGCCCCTCTCCCTATCCCCCAGACCTGGGTCTGCCCCCTGAACCCTGGGGGGTATCTGTGGTTTCTTCATGACTGAGGTGGCCACATGGCAACCTGTGCTGCCCTCAGAGGCCATGCAGGAGAGGTGGTGTGGGTGAAGGGCAGAGGGTGGGATGGGCAGCGCAGGTATCACTAAGGACTCAGGCCACGCCTTCCCCCAGCATGTGGAAAGCACACCCAGTGGTCACAGCGCCCATGGAGAAGTTCTGTTGTGGTAAGTTTTATAGGAGAGAAAAACTGAGGCCTGGGATGAGCTGTGGTCACACAGCAGGGAGGAGGGTGCCCAAGGCCCACAGAGAGCCCACCTCTGTGCCCTCCATGTGGGCATGCCCAGTCCCCACCCTACTTCTACACAAGCAGTCAGACCCAGCTCCTGGCAGCTGTGGAACTGTGGTCTCACAGAATGGAAATGCAAGGGCTGCTCAGTTGTCATTCCCACCATCATGAGGGCAGCAGCAGGGTGTTAAACCCAGCGCGGGACTTTCTGGGGGTCACACGCGGTGACGCTAGCCTAGTGCAGCCAGAGCCCAGGAAGGAGAATGCCTTCCTGGGAGAGGGGAGGCAGCTTCGTGGACAGGAAGTTTAGCTGAGGGGACCACGACATGGGCAGTCTGTGTACTCACCGGCTCTCCTCCCGGCCCGGCCACTCCGGGGGTTCCTTTGGGACCAGCTCTGCCCTAAAGGACACACAAGTGACGGGCCCTGAGGACCCTCTTCCTGGAAGACCTCATGCATTCCTGCTGCTTTCGGGACCCCAGGGCTGTGCTCCAGGCCAACCCCAACACTCTGGGGGGAAGACTCCGACCCAGGCCTGTGGGCGTAGGGGGAAGGCATCTTGGGTCCCATGGGTGCTGCATAGGGATGCTTCCTGGCGCTCTTAGCTCGAGGTTTAGTGGAAGGAAGCGTGGAGGCTGCCGGTCACTTCAGGAGACCTTGGCTGTCTCAGGACTTGTGTTCACGGGCTTAGCCAAGGGTTGTTCCCTTGTTCCTCTCTCACAGCTGCCGTCTTGGCACGGGGGACCCCACTCTGCCCAGGCCACAGGACATAAGTGCATCAGCAGCCAGATTCGAAGCCTGGAGTCAGGTCTGTGTGCTCTGCCTGTTGACCCCTCGGAGGGTCTCTGCAAGAACAGCTTGGGCCCTTCAGGGCCGGGCTCACCCCACCAAACCCTGGGCATGGGGAGCACTCCAAGTCCCCAGCAGGTGCCTCATGTGTTCCCCCACCCCAGCACCATCAGGAGTAAGATCAGATTTCTCAGCAGAAAGACCCAGAGGATTGAGTTCTCTCACTTACGAGGTCGCCCTTGGGCCCGCGAATGCCCTCTGGGCCCCTCTCGCCTCTGTCGCCCTGGAAATGACAGGAAGGACAGTAAACATGGAGAAGGCAGGAGAGCTGGCTGGGGTGACCGAAGCCCTTCCAGGGCCAGTCAGGCCAGAGGTGGCTGCACATGCTGCCCAGAGTCACAGAGGTCACCAAACTTTTCACCCAAAACAAGGAAGGAGGCAAGTCTCGCACAAAGCGGGGTCTCAGCAGACTTGTCCCCTCAGAGTGCCACAGGACAGCTCAGCCTGGGCAGGGCCAGTGCAACTCAGGGCCCTGCCGGGGGGAGTCTGGGGGTGCGGGGGGAAGGGCTGCCCCACAGCAGTTCCCACATACGTACTGCTTTCCCAGGTGCTCCTGGAATTCCGGGGGGTCCTCGGAACCCGATGGGACCCTGCAGAGGAGAGGGGCATCTGGGATCCTCCCGTCTGAAGTCTGGCCACAGCCCAACCACCCAGCTCCATCACAGAAGCCCTGCCACCAGCACTCCCTCCTCCAGGACTCCCAGTGCCCCACTCAGTGGTCCCACACCGGCTGCCCCTCCCCCACTCAGTTTGGCCTCAGCCTCAGCAGCCCTCATGGAACCTGGGTTTTGGGGGGCATGTTGGCGTGGGATTGAGGCTACTCAGCCCATCCCCACCCACGTATACACTCGTGAATGGGGACCCAGAGCAAGGCCCGCAGACAGCAAAGCTGAGGTCAGAGGTGGGGATGGGACAGGCCCCCAGTCACACGGATGGCCCACCTCAGGCTGGCCCACAGCTCCCCGAGGGACCAATAGGACTTACACGGTCTCCTGGAGGCCCAAGTGGCCCTGGCAGTCCTCGAAGTCCTCTGGGACCCTGCGGAGGGTGTTAGAGTTGCAGGGGCTGGTCTGCTGCCCACCAGGGAGCCTCTGAGGGCCCCAGGCACCCTGATGTCTTCCTTGAAGTTCTCAGCTTAGGGCCCCTTGGCCTCAGCTCAGGGCCTCCTCGGCCTTGGCTCAGACCCTCTCAGTCTCAACTCAGGAACCTCTTGGCCTCAGCCCCCCTCAGCCTCAGCTCAGGGCCTCCTCAGCCTTAACTCAGGGTCTCCTCGGCCTCAGCTCAGCCCTCCTCATCCTCAGCTCAGGGCTCCTCGGTCTCAGCTCAGCCACCTTCGGCCTCAGCTTAGGGACCCCTTGGCCTTATCTCAGTGCCTCTTGACCTCAGCTCAGCCTCTCCTTGGCCTCAGCTCAGGCCTCAGCTTTAGTTCAGGCCACCTCGGCCTCAGCTTAGAGACCTCTCAGCCTCAACTCAGGGCCTCCTTGGCCTCAGCTCAGGCTTTTTGAAGAGGCAGGAGCCCCGGCCCACATGTGCCCTGTGCCTGGGTGATGGCTACCTGTCCCACAGCCTAAGCAGCACCCTCAAGGGTGGCTGTCCAGGGAGCTCCCATCCCGTCATCCTCACCCCTCCTGGCCTCACCTGTAGCCCCACGGTGCCCGGGATGCCAGCAGGCCCAGGAGGGCCAGGGTTACCCTGTAGTGGGGAAGGAAGTGGTGGTCAGTAGCCATCAGGTTCTCCAGTACCTTTGGTGCCTGCCAGTCCTGCCATCTACACTGGAGCAGCTAGGGGCAACACTCATGCCACAGTAGAGCCTCAGAGCCTCTGTGAGGGGGTCCCCTTGCTCCTGGCTCCCAGGAGGTCACATGGGTTTCAGTGGCTTGCCCCTGCCTGGGCTGGGTCCAAGGTCTCCATTCCAGCACAGCCCCTTGGCCTTGCCCAGGCCCCTCCTCCCCACCAAGCAGGGACCCCTCTGCTGTGCTTGTGAGGGTCAATCATCTGACCACTCTTGCCTCTGTAAGGGCATCCCAGACCTCATCCCCAGCTGTGGTGAGGATGGTCAAATGCCCTCCAGGGGCAGTGGTCACAGGGCGGGGAAGGGGATACTCCAGGCTGAAGCCAGGTGTCCTTACAGAGCCCTCCCCTTACCACCCCAGCTGCTTCCACAGTGAGGTCAGGCAGGTGGGGGTCTGTCCCGAGACCCTCTCCCGAATCACCCAGCCTTGACCTGCCAGGCCCGCCAAGGACACACACAGGAGGTGCCAGTCAGGGTGTGATCCTGCCAGGGTCCCTGGCCCAGCCTTCTCACTGCCATGCCCCAGGTGTCCCTGGTCCCGCCCTCTCACTGCTGCACCCCAGGGGATGTCTGGTCCCGCCCACTTGCCACCAGCCCATGGCCAGCCCAGCTTACCTTCTCGCCATCCTTGCCGACTTCTCCCTGTTCCCCCTTGTAGCCAGTAGGGCCCTAGAGCGAATGCGGGAGTCATGGCCCCACCCAGATCCCTGGATGCCTCCCCCGCAGCTCGGAAACCAGGTCTGTGGGGCAGGTCGGCCCAGGACCCAGCCTCCCTGCAGGGGCAGCACCACAGACCTGAGCCCTGATGGGAAAACTGAGGCCCAGAAGCGCGGTGACCCACTTGAGGGTCCTCAGCTGTAAGGAGGGGGTGAAGCTGGGTGGAGAGTATGGGCACATTGCCTTTTCTCTGTCCTTTGTAGCCTGGTCCGGTCACACCATCTCCAGTGTGTCACAGAGGGCAGCAGGTGGGCTGGGGGTGCCAACCTGGGACCAGGGCCAGGTTGTCCCCCAGGCTCACAGCCCCTGCCCAGTGAGATGTGCTAGGTCTGCCTCAACCAGGGACTCACCTTGAACCCCGGCATTCCTGGGGGTCCAGGGGGTCCTGGTGGGCAGATACTTGGACACTGTTGGGAAATAGAGCAATTAGACACTCCCAAGCAGAGTAAGACCCCAACGTCAGCATCTGAGGGGCCCTGAGGAGCCCAGTCTGCAGGGATCAAGAGGCCTGGATGACCAGACTGGGCCTCCTGCCACGCCTGCCGAGCCAGAGGGCTGCCAGGAGCCAGACCATCCCCCAGCCAGCTCCGGTTTCTCAGCCTGCGGCAGACCCAGCTTCAAAGCAGCCATTCAGCTTGGTGGCTGCCGGTCACAAAGGGGCCTTCATCCTGCACACTGTCAGGAAAGGGCCCTTCAGTGCAGGAATGTGCACAGCGGGTGGCTTTTGGGCTCTATGCTCCAGGACAGAGGCTTGGGGAACCTAGGAAGGTTCTAGATTGTCCCAGGGCTGCAATGGGCACAGCCACCCCCAATGGCAGATCCCTAAGCCCTTCCTCCCGGGACAGACAGCTGTGGGGCGTGGAGGACCCTAGCAGTCAGCCCCCCGTGGCTAGCCAAACCAGGCTAGATTTTTCCTTCAAAACTAGGAGACCTCTCCATGGGGAGGCAGTGCAAAGTCACCGCAGATGGCATAGGGAAGAGACACAACCTGGGGCTCCTGAGCCTGCTGTCTTGCTACACAAGAACAAGGCTCAGCCGGGCTCAGTGGCTCAGCCTGTAATCCCGCGCCTTTGGGAGGCTGAGGTGAGTGGATTGCCTGAGCCCGCAGGTTCGAGACCCGCCTGGGCAGCGAGACCTCATCTCTACAATAAATAAAAAAATCAGCCGGGCATGGTAGCGCATGCCTGTAATTCCGGCTACTTGGAAGGCTGAGGCGGAAGGATTGCCGGAGCCCAGCAGGTTGAGGCTGCGGTGGCCGGGAGCGGCCACTGCACTCCAGTCTGGGCGACAGAGTGAGACTCCAACTCAAAAAAAAAAAAAAAAACAAGAACAAGGCTCAAAGATCAAGGTAGAAGTGAGTCCTGGGTTTGAGTCTGGAAATTTCTGCAGTAAAGAAGCTGTCCTGTCTGGCCTGCCCAATGCCATTGCCGCCTGCCCTGAGGGTGAGGGGACCCCATGGCTCAAGCAGAGGACACGCTGACCTTCTGTTTGATGTGACTGTGATTAACTAGGTGTACATGGCTCCATGCAGCTGGGGGTTCCGTGGGGGTTGGTGGACTGGTGCAGGACTATATGGTGGGGGGTGGGAGGCTGAGCTGTCTGCTCGGCTGTGCCTGGTGCTGAGCCCCATCCTCACGGAGCTCCCAGGCCCTGCCCTCCTGGAGCAGATGAGCCTGTCTGCAGGTCAGACCACTCCCCCTTCACCTGTGGTTGCCAGTGCCCACCTGAAGGTCAGCAGCGCCTTCGGGGAGGACTCCCGGGTGTCCCTGAATCAGAGAGAGACAGCTGACATCCCCTGCCCTCTATCCACCCACCTTCTGACCACAATCTCCCCAGGGGACTCGAAGATCCTTCATCCTATTCCCCAAGTGGCCAGTGCTGGGGGCTGCTGGCCCATCCCAGGGCATAGGACAATGTCCTTGGGGTAAGGTGGTGGAGGCCTGAACCCTGACCATCTGTAAGTTCATCAGCCGAGCCACAGTCACTGTCCCCCATTCATCTGTTCCTGGCAATGTCAGGTTAGGACCAGGGGCTCTCCGGGCATGGATAGGCAGGGGCTTCGGGGTGAACTCTGACCTAGCACATTAGTCCCTGCCCAGTACTTACAGGGGGTCCGGGTGGTCCCGGGGGGCCAGGGAGGCCTGGAAGTCCAGAGGGTCCCTGGGAGGAGATGAATTAGAGCAGGGCCAGCCCTGCCTGAGTGAGGTTACTAGCTCTGCCCAGAGAGGACACTCCTGGCTCCCACCTGCCTCCCCCACCCATGGTCTCAGCCGGTGTCTGTGCATCCTGAGGTCTGGTCTGTCCCTTTCCCAATCATTAGTGGCTGCTTCTGCCAGCACCCCACAAGAAGGGGGAGGAAGAAGGAGGAGAGGAGGAAGAAGAGGGAGGAAGAGGGAGAAGGGAGGGCCAGGTAAGAGGGTCCCCAAGAGTTGAGTTTAGCATGTGGTGTAGCCACAAATGAGTCTGTTCCGAGGGAGGATGGTGTGGTGCAGCCACTCACCGGGGGGCCTCGGAGGCCGATGCCACCTGGAAGGCCGCTCACTCCTGCCTCTCCCTAAGGGGAAGTGAAGTAAGAGTTGGGGGTTCTGCACCCAGGGAGCTCCATCTGGGGTCAGTCTGCCAACTCTGAAGGGATGAGGGCTCTAGGCATGGGGTGGTAAGAACCCTGTCCCCAAGGATCCCTGCCCCCAGCCACTGTTTGGGAGTCCCAGCCCAGGACAGCTTGGGGTGTGAAAGCTCTCTTGTGTTGGGCAAGGGCCCAAGGGTATCAGTACTCACGGGAGGTCCAGGGAGGCCTTTGCCCTGCAAAGCCAAGCATGGGGTCAGCACCTGCTGGGCACAGAAGGGGCCCTGCCCTGCCCCCTCCCCCAAGATGGTTCAGGTGAGTCCTGGGGAGGAGACCCCCGGGGAGGCATGGCCTAGCCCAGAAGGGCTCCAGAACCCAGTCCAGGGACTGTCCCTAGGAGAGACTGCAGGGGTGGGCAGCAGGCCACTGGGCCAGAACAACCTTTGGGGTCCCTGGAGGTCACCCTGCCTTGGCCAGACCCTCGGCTTCTCAGACTCCCATGGAAAGGTGGAGACAGCACTTACCCCCAGCCCAGGTGGCCCTGGGGGTCCCAGGCTTCCCTGTGGAAGGAAGGCAGGTGTCAGGTGTGGGCCCAGCCTCTACTAGCAAAACCGCGCCAGCCCTCTGGAGGCCCATCACAAATCTCTTCCCCCCAGGGAGGCAGGGGGACTTCCCACACACTTCACAGATGGAGGACCTCTGAGGCCCAGCAGCCTAATAGACCCTCTGCCTATGGTCCTGGTGGGAAGTGTGGCCAGAAAAACTGCTTTCCTGGGAAGCAACTGGGGACAGACACCACCAGCCATAGCGTTGGGCATGCTGGGGCCAGGAAGGTGCCACCCAGGGTAGGCCAAGGCACACAGAAGCAGCCCCAAATGTCCGTCTCCTCCAGGAAGTTCGCTCAGTAATCAACTTACAGAGGCCACAGAGACCTCAGTCTCAGCCCATGTCAGGGATCCCAGAGCCCTGGGCAGCTGGTTCCATATTGCCTGCTGCCCATGCTGGTTCTTGCTGGAGGCCAGAGGCTCCTAGCCTACCAGCAGCCGCTTCTCTATGTTGTTGTTGACCAGCATACTCCTCAGAGCTGGTGGGGTCCCAAGGGCCCACCTTCTGCACCTCCTGTGCCGTGTGCACAGGGTGGGAAGCACCCACTGACCAGCAACACTTCTCCAAGGGAAGCAGAGAAAAGCAGGCTTTGGTTTTGTATGTGGGAGGCACGAGGGGAAGCCATGCCAAGACAGTGCAATTGGTCAGGGTAGGACTTAGTGGATGATGGTCAGATCAGGGGGACTGGCAGACTAGGTGACTGTGGGCCCCCACCAGTGATTTACTCAGGGCTCTGGGGGCCGCAGGGACACCTGAGGGGGAGGAGGAGCAGGGGGTGGGTCATACCATACCAGCTATCCCTGCTACATCTGAATGCCAGGATGACTCTGGCCAGATGTAGGTGTGGACGGGGAGGCAGCCACAGGGCTGGACACCAGCACTCTGCCCTCCTGCCCACCGCTCCACCCCACTGCAGGCCCAGGACTCAGATGGTGCCCGTTGTGACAGCTGCCAACAGAACTACCAGTGCCATGGCCAGTGGACATGGGACACTCTACCTGGACACCCCCTGGCTGGGTCTTGCCTCTGAACTGAAGCTGTGGGGCACGGTGCAAGCACTTACCCGTTCTCCAGGGGCACCCTTGGGTCCAGCGGGTCCATCCCTTCCGGTCAGACCCTGGGGAGAGAGGTAGGGGGAGGCTGGAGGGTCCACGTGGGATGCACAGGCTGCCCCAGAAGTCAGAATGAGCGATGGACCCTTCCCCTGAGTTCTGGGAGATGGAGACCGTGGGCCAGGCACTCCCCTCTCTCAGTTCGCCTGCTGTCACCTGGTGGGCCCTGAGGCTCTGGGGGGGGGGGGGGGCACGGATAGCTGGCATGAAGCCAGCAACAGAGGCACCAGCTGGAGTCAGGCTCTGTGGGAGCCAGCCCAGTTGGACCAGTTCACGTCTCGGACCTGGCTCTGGCTCTAACCAAGGGGTGCTGGGGCCTAGCCTTGAGCCCGCGATGACTGACGTGGCCAGCCTGGGGGCACAGGACCCAGGCCAGTGGTGGGCAGGGGGCCTGATAATGAGCATTTGTTCCTGGATAAGCTGGCAGGACTTCCGCCTCTGCTGTGGGCTGGCTCTGTCCTCACCAGATGCTAACAGGGTCTGGGATGAAGGCCAAAGGATCCCTGCTGAGGACTTCTGGAGACTTCTATCAGGACTGGGCTTCCCACTTGAGCAGGCCCAGCTGGAGAACAGCAATTAGGCCCTGACTCCTCCAGGGCCC